TCGGGAAGACAGCGTCTGAATGGGTCTGAATGAGACTCTGTCTCCCCGACAGACCTGGTCTTCACTGAGGACGGCTGCTTGCGTTGTGGCCGAAGCGTCGTGAGAATTATTTTATTATGTTTTATTTCATTATTTTATTACTTCCCTTCTACGTGGTGACTTTACCGATAGAACCAAGAAGGCGTTGCAGACTTTCGCCAAACAGAACCGTTAGATCGCGTAAAGTCACGTAGAAGGGAAATAATAAAATATAAATATAAAACATAATAAAATAATTCTCACGACGTTTCGGCCACAACGCAAGCAGCCGTCCTCAGGTGTGAAAACCACAGCAAGAAAATTTGAAGAAAATTCTCGCCGTGATTTTCACACTGATGATGAAAATTTGAAGAAAATTTCTTGCCGCGGTTTTCACACCTGATGATGAAAATTCGAAGAAAATTTCTTGCCGTGGTTTTCACACCTGATGATGAAAATTCGAAGAAAATTTCTTGCCGTGGTTTTCACACCTGATGATGAAAATTTGAAGAAAATTTCTTGCCGCGGTTTTCACACCTGATGATGAAAATTCGAAGAAAATTTCTTGCCGCGGTTTTCACACCTGGTGATGAAAATTCGAAGAAAATTTCTTGCCGTGGTTTTCACACCTGATGATGAAAATTCGAAGAAAATTTCTCGCCGTGGTTTTCGCACCTGATGATGAAAATTCGAAGAAATTTTCTTGCCGTGGTTTTCGCACCTGATGATGAAAATTCGAAGAAAATTTCTTGCCGTGGTTTTCACACCTGATGATGAAAATTCGAAGAAAATTTCTTGCTGTGGTTTTCACACCTGATGATGAAAATTCGAAGAAAATTTCTTGCCGTGGTTTTCACATGATGATGAAAATTCGAAGAAAATTTCTTGCCGTGATTTTCACACCTGATGATGAAAATTCGAAGAAAATTTCTTGCCGTGGTTTTCGCACCTGATGATGAAAATTCGAAGAAAATTTCTCGCCGTGGTTTTCGCACCTGATGATGAAAATTCGAAGAAATTTCTTGCCGTGGTTTTCGCACCTGATGATGAAAATTCGAAGAAAATTTCTTGCGTGATTTTCGCACCTGATGATGAAAATTCGAAGAAAATTTCTTGCCGTGGTTTTCGCACCTGATGATGAAAATTCGAAGAAAATTTCTTGCCGTGATTTTCGCACCTGATGATGAAAATTCGAAGAAAATTTTTGCCGTGTTTTCACCTGATGATGAAAATTCGAAGAAAATTTCTTGCCGTGTTTTCGCACCTGATGAAGAAAATTCGAAGAAAATTTCTTGCCGTGGTTTTCACACCTGATGATGAAAATTCGAAGAAAATTTCTTGCCGTGGTTTTCGCACCTGATGATGAAAATTCGAAGAAAATTTCTCGCCGTGGTTTTCGCACCTGATGATGAAAATTCGAAGAAATTTCTTGCCGTGGTTTTCGCACCTGATGATGAAAATTCGAAGAAAATTTCTTGCCGTGGTTTTCACACCTGATGATGAAAATTCGAAGAAAATTTCTTGCTGTGGTTTTCACACCTGATGATGAAAATTCGAAGAAAATTTCTTGCCGTGGTTTTCACACCTGATGATGAAAATTCGAAGAAAATTTCTTGCCGTGATTTTCACACCTGATGATGAAAATTCGAAGAAAATTTCTTGCCGTGGTTTTCGCACCTGATGATGAAAATTCGAAGAAAATTTCTCGCCGTGGTTTTCGCACCTGATGATGAAAATTCGAAGAAATTTTCTTGCCGTGGTTTTCGCACCTGATGATGAAAATTCGAAGAAAATTTCTTGCCGTGATTTTCGCACCTGATGATGAAAATTCGAAGAAAATTTCTTGCCGTGGTTTTCGCACCTGATGATGAAAATTCGAAGAAAATTTCTTGCCGTGATTTTCGCACCTGATGATGAAAATTCGAAGAAAATTTCTTGCCGTGGTTTTCGCACCTGATGATGAAAATTCGAAGAAAATTTCTTGCCGTGGTTTTCGCACCTGATGAAGAAAATTCGAAGAAAATTTCTTGCCGTGGTTTTCACACCTGATGATGAAAATTCGAAGAAAATTTCTTGCCGTGGTTTTCGCACCTGATGATGAAAATTCGAAGAAAATTTCTCGCCGTGGTTTTCGCACCTGATGATGAAAATTCGAAGAAAATTTCTTGCCGTGGTTTTCACACCTGATGATGAAAATTCGAAGAAAATTTCTCGCCGTGGTTTTCACACCTGATGATGACGATTGCTGCTTGTGTTGCAGTCGAAACGTCGTGAGAAATTTTATTGTTTAATATTTTTACTATTTTATTCTTTCCCTTCTACGTGTACGCAGCCAACCACAACAATCTAAACGCACCAAGCAGTTCTAACCGAATGAGTTAATCAACCGCGACGATTTAAAAGTGCCATCCTCATAACGGTTGGGGGTGGCGGTCCCGCCCCAAGCGGATTTGCCGACGTGCGGTCTGGTTTGCGTTGGTGGTGGTGTTCGTTCGATTGATTCTGGTGGTGTGTGGTTCTAATGAGGTGGGTGCTGGTGGCGGTGTCTGTCACTCTGTCGTCTCTCTGTCTCTCCCCCTCCTCCTCCTCATCATCGTGCCCCTACCGCTTTATCGCTGGCCGCTCGCTTTGCACGCTCGTGTGTGGTGGGTCCATCGCAAAAACCTTCGCCTGATCTTAACCCTCCTCCCTACCTACCTCATCGCGTCGGCTTCGATCCCCACGAACCCTCCGCCTTGGGCTTTTATCTCTGAACCTTTAAACGCTGAAACCTCGACTAACAACAACAAAAAACAACGCTGAGACCGTTTTTCAAAATGCTGAACCCCGCGAACTCTGAACTCCAAACCTCTTAACCCCTGCCGTGTGACCTCTAACCTCTGACCTCTCCGCACCCACCCCCCCCCCCCCCACATCTCACGCGACCGCCTTAACGGAACGACGCTAACCAACAACCGCTACTCCCCGCTTGGCTGCCCCCCGCCCCCCCAAACAACACTACTACTACTACACAATGGGGGGCCCCCCCACCCCCACCCTACCCTACCCCTTGCCCCCCCCCTCCCCAATTGCAGAAAGACCGTGCGAAAGTGGGGGGCAACCGAGACATTCGTAATGTGCGCAAGGCCAAAAACCGCCGCCAGGACTGGGAGCGCCTCAAAATGGGAAAGGAGTTCATAGCGGACAGCAAACTGCTGCTGCTGCAGCAGCAGGGGTCTGTGGGGGGGGGGGGGAGTATGAGAGAGTGGGGGGGGAGGGGGGGGGGTGAGAGAGTGGGGGGGGACTGAGAGTGGGGGGGGGGGGAGTGTGGCGGGAGTGTGAGAGTGGGGGGAGTGGGGGGGGGTATGTGAGAGAGTGGGGGGGGAGTGAGGGGGGGGAGTGTGAGAGAGGGGGGGTGGTGAGAGAGTGTGAGAGAGTGGGGGGGTGGTGAGAGAGTGGGGGGGAGTGTGAGAGAGTGGGGGGTGGTGAGAGAGTGTGAGAGAGTGGGGGGGTGGTGAGAGAGAGTGGGGGGGTGGTGAGAGAGTGGGGGGGAGTATGAGAGAGTGGGGGGGGGAGGGGGGGTGAGAGAGGGGGGGGTGGTGAGAGAGTGGGGGGGGTGAGAGAGAATGTTGTAAGCCCCATGTGTGTGTACACTGTGTAGTAGTGTTGTAAGCACTGTGTGGTGTGTACACTGTGTGTGTGTACACTGTGTGTGTGTGTGTACACTGTGTGTGTGTGTACACTGTGTGTGTGTGTGCACACTGTGTGTGTGTGTGTGCACACTGTGTGTGTGTGTGCACACTGTGTGTGTGTGTGCACACTGTGTGTGTGTACACTGTGTGTGTGTGTACACTGTGTGTGTGTGTACACTGTGTGTGTGTGTACACTGTGTGTGTACACTGTGTGTACGCTGGTGTAGTAGTGTTGTAAGCACTGTGTGTGTGTGTACACTGTGTGTGGTACACTGTGTGTGTGTGTACACTGTGTGTGTGTGTGCACACTGTGTGTGTGTGTACACTGTGTGTGTAGTACACTGTGTGTGTAGTACACTGTGTGTGTAGTACACTGTGTGTAGTAGTGTTGTAAGCACTGTGTGTGTGCACTGTGTGTGTGTGTGTACACTGTGTGTGTGTGTACACTGTGTGTGTGTGTGTACACTGTGTGTGTGTGTGTACACTGTGTGTGTAGTACACTGTGTGTAGTAGTGTTGTAAGCACTGTGTGTGTGTGTACACTGTGTGGTGTGTGTGTACACTGTGTGTAGTAGTGTTGTAAGCACTGTGTGTGTAGTACACTGTGTGTGTAGTACACTGTGTGTAGTAGTATTGTAAGCACTGTGTGTGTGTATACTGTGTAGTTTTATTGTAAGCACTGTGTGTGTACACTGTGTGTACATTGTGTGTGGTGTGTACACTGTGTGTACATTGTGTGTGTGTACACTGTGTACATTGTGTGTGTGTAGTACATTGTGTGTGTAGTAGTATTGTGTACACTGTGTGTGTTTGTACACTGTGTGTACACTGTGTATGTGTGTGCATTGTGTGTGTGTATACACTGTGTGTGTGTATACACTGTGTGTAGTAGTATTGTGTACACTGTGTGTGTGTACACTGTGTGTACACTGTGTGTGTGTGCACTGTGTGTGTAGTACACTGTGTGTGTAGTAGTAGTATTGTGTACACTGTGTGGTGTTTGTGTACACTGTGTGTGTAGTACACTGTGTGTGTAGTAGTATTGTGTACACTGTGTGTGCACTCTGTCTGTGTGTACACTGTGTGTGTGTATACACTGTGTGTAGTAGTATTGTGTACACTGTGTGTGTGCACTCTGTGTGTACACTGTGTGTGTATACACTGTGTGTGTGTATACACTGTGTATGTAGTAGTATTGTGTACACTGTGTGTGTGTGAACAGCTCTGGGACCAGTGAGCCAACGACTTCTCCCGTACCTCCATCCATGGCACCGCCCCCTCGCCCCTGGACGGCCAATCGGCTTACAGCTCGCCCGGGTATGGGCACGGCCAGGCCTTCAACGGGGACCTGCCGCCTCCACCCCCAGCCGATTATAGGTAACGTGTGTGTGTGTCTGTGTGTGTCTGTGTGTACACTCAGCCTTAAATGAGTACCTGGTGCGGTGTGTAAACATCGCCACTAGGGAGACAAAGGCGGTCGGGCGTGGTGCTGGCCACCCACCCCTCGTGTGCCGTTCCGGCCTTCATAGGTGCTCGCTAACAGCACTTGCCTCTACAGTCTGTTCAGGCTATACGGGGAATCTTTGTCTTTTGTGTCTGTCTGTGTGTGTGTGTCTGTGTGTGTGGTCTGTATCATCTTCGCCGGTTGGAAACATTTAGGCTGGCCTGCCTACAATCCATCCTGGGTTTAACCTGCAGGCTGGATTGTGTGAGGAGCTCACAAATCCTTTAAAGATCTGGACAAAGTCCCATTGGTGAACTTCTCCGGTAGGCAAGGTTGCGTTGGCTGGGTCGTTTAGCCCGCATGCCCAGCCACCGCATGCCTAAACAGCTTTTGTTGCTGCTGTTGCTGCCGCTGCTGTTGCTGCTGCTGCTGTTGTTGCTGCCGCTGCTGTTGCTGCTGTGCTGTTGTTGCTGCCGCTGCTGTTGCTGCTGCTGCTGTCAACCACCAGCCGACGTCTCCGTTGACCTCACACCCGTCTCCTCCCCACCTCCCTCCTCCCCCACAGCACGGCAGACTCCCACCCCAGCCCTCTGCACCCTCCAACCTCCTCCCCCTTCCCACCCTCCGTCCCTCCGCCCCCTCCGCCCATGTCCTGGAGCTCTCCCGGCGGCGGAGCGGGAGGGGGAGGGCCCAGGCGACCCCCCCTCCCCCGCCCCCGCCCCCTCCCCCGCCCCCACCCCCCGGACCCTTCGGACACCCGGCGGGTGTCGTCGCCGCGGGGTCCACGCCGCCATCGGGGGGGGTCTTCGGCGCCCCCGCCGGAGGCCCCGTCGGCGGGGGCCACTCGCTGCTGTTGCCGCCGGCGCCACCGCCACCGCCGCCACCGCTGCCTCCGCCTCTCCCGGTGGGTGGTGGTGGCGGCTACGGTGGTTTTGGTGGTTTTGGCGGCGGTGGTGCCGCACCGCCACCGCCGCCGCCACCGCCGCCGCCGCCGATGATGACGGCCATGGACGGGGGCTACGGCAGCCGCATGGCGGCGGCGGCGGCGCCTCCGGCCGCTCCGCCGTTGCCGCCGGTGACGTGCGGCACGGGGGTTGCGGTGGAGGGAGCGGCAAGCGAGGAGGGCAGTGCACGCAGCGACCTGCTGGACGCCATCAGACGCGGTAACGCCGCCACTAACTACCGCTACCGCCACCCACTACCACTACCGCTACCACCCACTACCACCACTACCCACTACCACTACTGCCACTACCCACTACCGCTACCACCCACTACCACCACTACCCACTACTACTACCGCTACCGCCACCCACTACCACTACCGCCACCACCCACTACCACCACTACCCACTACCACTACTGCCACTACCACTACCACTACACTACCACTAACCCACTACCCACTACCACTACTGCCATACCCACTACCACTACCCACCAGCACTACCACCACTACCCACTACCACTACACCCACTACCACTACCACTACCCACTACCACCACTACCCACTACCACTACACCCACTACCCACTACCACTACCACCACTACCCACTACCACTACACCCACTACCCACTACCACCACTCCCACTACACCCACTACCCACTACCACTACCACCACTCCCACCACTACCACCCACCCACCCACTACACCCACCACTATCGCTACCACCACCCACCACCACCACCCACCCACTACCACCGCCACCACCACCCACCACCACCACCCACCCCACCCACCAGCACCACCCACCCACCTCCACCTGCTGTAGGAGGGAGTGAGATGGAGCAGATGAGATTAGTCCACACACACACAGTTTCCAAATCTACAGCAGCAGGCATCGTCAGGGTCGGGATCGAACCCACGACCTCCTGCGTACCAGGCGAGGTAGTTAACATCTCCTAGCCACCCTGATGATGATGATGATGAGAGAGACGCAAACTCCAAATCTAAAGCAGCAGGCATCGTCAGGGTCGGGATCGAACCCACGACCTCCTGCACACACCAGGCGAGTAGTCAACATCTCCTAGCCACTGTGATGATGATGAGAGAGAGAGATGCAAACTCCAAATCTACAGCAGCAGGCATCGTCAGGGTTGGGATTGAACCCACGACCTCCTGCGAGGTAGTTAACATCTCCTAGAACGACTGCGCGTGTCCCCCTGTCCGCTGCCCCCTCGCTCGCTCACGCCTGCCCTGCCCTGCTGCCCCCCCCACCCCCCACCCCCCCACCCCCCCAGGCATCCAGCTGAAGAAGGGTCAGGACAAAGCGGACCAGGACGCCAAGCGGCAGGCCGCGGGGAACGACGTCGCCGCCATCCTGTCGCGGCGCGTCGCTGTCGAGTACAGCGACTCGGACTCGGACACGTCGGAGTTCGGCGACGGAGACTGGTCCGACTGAGACGAGCGGAGAGAGGGGGGCACGTGTGGGGTGAGACACGTGTGGGGTGAGACACGGTGGGGTGAGACACGTGTGGGGTGAGACACGTGTGGGGTGAGACACGTGTGGGTGAGAAACGTGGGGTGAGACACGTGTGGGTGAGAGACACGTGTGGGGTGAGAGACACGTTTAGAGGGACACGGGGAGAGAGACACGGGGAGAGAGTTCGGGGAGAGACACGGGGAGAGACACGGAGGAGAGAGACACGGGAGAGTACGGGGTTAGAGAGCACGGGTAGAGGGACACGGGGAGAGGGACACTGAGAGAGAGACACGGGGGAGAGACACGGGGAGAGACACGGAGAGAGACACGGGGAGAGAGACACGGGGAGGGAGACACGGGTGGAGAGACGCGGGTGGAGGGACGGGGAGAGAGACACGGGGAGGGGACAGGGGAGAGAGACACGGGAGGGAGACACGGGAGAGGGACATGGGGAGAGACACGGAGAGCGACACGGTGACAGAGACACGGGGAGAGAGTTCGGGAGAGACGCGGGTAGAGAGACGTGGGTAGAGAGACACGGGGAGAGAGTTGGGGAGAGACACGGGGAGAGAGACACGGGGAGAGAGAGAGACACGGGGTGAGGGACACG